TTAAAAATAACAAAGTTTTAGATTTAAATACTTGACGAGTCAAAACGAAAAAATCCAAGACTGTGGAGATTCTATTGGCGTTAATAATAGCTCTTGAATAAAATGAATTTTTTCCACTATTAGTATTAAAATTAGGTGTATGGGACAAAATCAGAATTACGTGTAAACCTACTAGGGATTCTAAATCCAATTAAACTTAAAATAGGTGGGCAGTTTATATTATTATTTAAAATATCATAGACAAACATTATATCAATTAAATCACGCCTGATGTTAAGAGAGTCAATACCTATATAGATTTTTGAACCAAAAGGAAAGAGTCTCTGGATATAGTACAATGAGTAATAAAGGCGACTCTTTTCAGAAATTTATACTGAATATTATTAAGCTCGTTTGAGTAAGTAGAATAATTATTAGACCAAATTAAAGAGCCAAATTCTAGGTTTGATTTAACTAAAGAAGTATACAAATTTTTTAAACACATAGGATTTTAAAGTCCTTTGTGTTTCTGTTTATAAAACCCAACAGTTTATACGCATTATTAATGATTTTTTTATGATTAATTTTGAAAAACAGATTAGATTCAAAACAGATACCTAAATCTGTAATAGAGAAACATCTTTCAAGAATATGGTTATTAATAAGATAATTATGAAAAACAGGACTTTTAAATTATTGTGACATGACTCCAGGATCCGGCACCAAAATGAGAAAAAGTCCGCAAAGTATTGAAACAGTATGGTGGCGAAATATGTTTTTGATGTATCGACCTGACGTTTTATAATAAATGACGAGAACCATGAACCACGATTTCTAACTTTAATAATTAAAAATTAATAAGGTAAATTTAAAATGAATAAAATGTGAAGATTTGAAAAACATAATCTATTTATTAGCAAAACAAAATAAAAAAATGTGAGCTTTTATTTGATGGCCATGAGTTTATAATATTCAATAACCCATGTAATGTTCCTACAAATATAGAGTAAAAAAAAAATTAATAAATAAATTTAAAAAAATAAATTATTTATTTGTGTTTATTGTAATATTACCATGTATTAAGACTACAAGGGTAAGAGACAATTATTTTATATTAAACTTATATTAAATAGTAGCCCGATATATTCTATTAAATACTTCTGTAAGTAGTATATTTCAATTGTGTATTACATAATATAATTTTAAATTCTACTATAAACTTACCTACGTATAAACACAAATGATTGGTATGATTTTTGGACTCGAAATTATAAATAAGTTAGCGGCTATTTGCAAAATGTTAGCAGCATATTTCAATTCATAGCTCACAAGGGGGTGTAGCGTGAAGTTGCCCCCCATCTTATATTTTTCATACCTTGTAGGTTATTTATTTGCAAATTCTGAAAACCAATTTGCAAATGTTTGCAAATTATTTGCAAATTATTGGTAGTATCTTGAACCCGCTAGCTACATATTCGAGGGCTGCGTGAAGTTGACCCCCCTGACTTATTTTTTTTATTCCTCTCGGGGAATTTATTTGCAAATTATCATACTACAGCATAGGTCTTCCGTGTTTGAGACGACAACAATTATCAGCCGCCCGGATTTGTTCTTTCCTTCCCTACGTTATTTGTCTAACGCCTAAACTTACGGGACAGCTACTCAGAAGATTCCATGTGCATCAGTTTGAGCATTTAAACCATTTGTATTCAACAGTGAATACTGCATTAAACATTGTTTAACCAATGAAATCCGTAGGATCTGGCCATTATTATTATTATTGCATATGGTTAACAAAATAGATGTAAGTATTGTAAATATCATGCTATTGAATGCAAATACATAGCAATTTTTGTTGTTGTAAAAAACTATAATATTTGTATTGCATAGGTACACTATGGTCTATGGATTATGGATGTTAATGTTATAATATGGTCCTGCATCAAATAAATAGTTCATTTTTTTGAATGACTCTGTCGCCCACAACTCTGTGATGCATTCACTGATTTAGCACCCTGCGTTCTAGAGGTCTTGTTGCGCCACTGCCTATGAGTTATGACTAGAGCTAGAATTATAATGACCAAAAAAATACACAAGAATGCACAAAAAAGATGCAAAAATGACCTAAAAACGTTAAAAAATGTACTGAGATGAGCGAAAAAAATTTAATTTTAAATTAAATATTGTACCTACTTCATTATTATTTATTCATTGTTTATATTACACCATATAGGTAAAAATTTGTTTTAAGAACTAAACTAAACAAATATTTTCAAATTTGAGTTGACTTGTGATTTTAATTAATTATATTACCTTTTCGATTCATACCCTCTTTGCCGAATCCCAATTTGTTGACAAAATTTACCAGTTTTAAAATATTTTTAATATTATTTTATTAATATAGTTTCAATTTTCCCGATTCTCCGACAGGTGACAATAATTTTATCGAAAAACGAGCATAACAGCGATAATATTATGGCCTATGGGTATTATTATAAGTTGTGGATGTAAGTTCAAAGATACTATTTTTATAAGGGTTCTATAGGTACTAACTGAGATTACCTATACAAAACGTCAACACATATTAAAAAACTTAAAATAAACAAAAAANATTTAAAAAAATAAATTATTTATTTGTGTTTATTGTAATATTACCATGTATTATGACTACAAGTCTACAAGGGTAAGAGACAATTATTTTATATTAAACTTATATTAAATAGTAGCCCGATATATTCTGTAAATAGTGTAAATTACTTCTATAAGTAGTATATTTCAATTGTGTATTACATAATAATATAATTTTAAATTCTACTATAAACTAAATCTACTTATAATCACAAATGATTGGTATGATTTTTGGACTCGAAATTATAAATAAGTTAGCGGCTATAGCAAAATGTTAGCAGCATATTTCAATTCGTAGCTCAAAAGGGGGTGTATCGTGAAGTTGCCCCCCATCTTATATTTTTCATACCTCGTAGGTAATTTATTTGCAAATTCTGAAAACCACTTGCAAATTAAATGATAACATAACTTTCAAAAAAGTTGGTCATGGGGTTGGGGCCAACTTCAAGCACATTGGCCTCCCAGCTTTTTCCACCTTTTGTCCGGTTTTTTTTCATATTTTTCCGAGTTCCAATTATTATACATAGTATAAAGCGTTAAACCAAATAACTATACATTTTTCAGGAAATGTTCGATAATTTAAAAACATACAATTCATGATATTTCAATAAAATAATAAAAGTTAGATATAAAAATAAGGGGTGTTAAATTTTAACTTGGGGGTGCTACAAACCTTTTTGCACGGCCCTAGTTGCGCCACTGCTCATAGGGTAATATTAATTTAATAAACACAATTAGAAAGCAAAACCAATTCTTGGTTTGCTGATTTTGTTGTACACAATCAATGTGATCAGCTATCATATCGAATAGATAGTTTTTTGCATTTTAGGCACACCCATTTTATTGGTTTTTTTATATCAACTTTTGTTGTTACAGAGGACCACGCATCATTTTCAAAAAAGCGTCTAAACAACATTTTTAATTTTCTCTTTGCTCAACAAGTAATTTTAATTTTTTATTTGTTTTGAATTGTTTGTTATTTAATTAATGATGACATTTTCGTGGTATCGACAGAAATAGTTACGTACTGACTAATATCGGAATCTGAGTCCGATACGGGTCGGTACTCGGTACGTATTACTATTGTATATTGCACGACGCACGTGTAACTTCTTGAACACTCAATATTGACAAGATACCATGAACATATTAAAATAGTCCGATAATAGCCCGTTACGTATCAATACACTCCAATTTCTTCCTCGAAAATCTTGATTTTACCACAAATATTATAATCTATTCTGTGCTTTTATCACCATAATAGACAAGCAATGAGAGAATGGAAAGCGTAATAATATCACAGATATATAGAATATATTTTTTGAAGCCGTTTTTGGATCACTAGATTACTCGTACGCACGGTAGTAAGGCTAGTGGTGGGGGGGGCAGGGTAAGATAATAATTAGATACATTATTATAGATTATTGTATTTTTAATTTATTCAACTTTTGTAAGAACAGCCTGCCTACATCACTGTATGATGTTTTTACGCATGTTGTTGTACACTTAAACATAGTCTGTTTTTGTTTAGCGTCTACCACAACTTTACTGTCTCTATCTTCACTTTACTGTGAGTATAAAGTCAATGAAATAAGTAATAACCAATGACCATGTTATGCATTATGCCATATTGCCATGGTGTAGTCAAGTGGTTCTCAAACTGTGGTACTTGTACCCTTTCTAGGTACACAACATTTTTTAGGGGGGACGATTCTGACAAACAACCATGAACCCTTTAAATTTAAATAGAGAAAAGATTTGTCATATACTTTAGTAACCTAGAAGGGGTAACCAAAAAATTGTATTGATCAAAAGGGGTACAGTGTCTGCACAAGCTTGAGAACCCCTGGTGTAGTCAAAAACATGTGCTTTGAGCCTTGTTATTTGTTGCTTGTTGGATGTTAATACTTAATGTTTCATTGTTTTGATGAAAGTTATGATTGCAAATTGCAACGTAGGATATTTTATTATTTATCGTTTTTATCGTTTCCTTAAGTCCCCTATCCTCGCCCCCTGGTCTATAGTATTTACTATTTACAGCTAGTTATTAATGGTATATTAATAAATATTGTCTATAGTGATAGTCTATACTCTGCTCGACGTCTCGTCATTAAGTTTGTAATTTGTTACTGATTAACTGAGAGTAAGGACTCGATTTTTGAGTTCTATAGAATAACCGCTATTCAATTAAGATTAATGTGCCATGATATAACAACAAGGTATGATCGTAACTTTTTGACGGTCAGATCCTTCGGTATTATTGGTAAGCACGTGACGCAGGTCATGTTTAGTAGTAATAATTGAACGACGATTCGACGATATGATAATACGGATAAGCAAGTGACGTATGCGCGGACTTGAACCAAATCTGGAATTTTCCGATCATACCATGTTGCTTATATCATGTTATACCTTCCAGACTTTAGATTGTTGAATCGTTCACTTTACATATTTCAAAACTTTAAAATTTGTTTTACTTTTCAAACTGTATGATATATTGTTATTTGATATTTGTTATTCATGCGTTATTTCTTTGATTATTTTAATAGTTTTACTTTTAACTGTTCAATCGCGTACATACCAGGTAATAAATAATATTATATAATTATAATAGGTAGGTACTTAATAAATGTGTTTATTTTGTAAACATTTTATATTATTATTTGGCCATAATATAATAATATTGTTAATATTGGTGGTTCACTATAGTCACGCTATTTCTTATATTGTGTTGTGTGGTTGTGTCATATATATGGTGGCGCATTACACATGGTGTATGCCAATGTGCCATAGAATAAGAATCTAATGTGTGTGATGTGTGCAAATATCACTGGTGCTTGCCAATTCGGCTAGTGGCGGCGACACCTTTTGTTACTTAACAAAGCAACATTTTGAAAGAAAAAATTTTACAAATCTAAATAGAATTTGTTTAGTTAATACTATACACACAATGTGTCTGTACTTAAAATTAAAAAGATTGATCACTTTACAGCTTTCTGTTTGTTTTTGTTTGTAAAATAATTGTTATGTCAGAAATTCTATAAATTTTATAAATTTTAGTTAAGTAAGATCCATTTTTGGAGTAGGTAAAATGTGTGAAGAAAGATTAAGCAGACCTTTTTCTACAGAAAACAAATGAGCATGCCAGTTACTTTTATCAAAAATAATTTTGCAATAAAAAGGCAACAAAATTCTATTAAATATGTTCTTTATATGAATTTAGTTACATTTTTATTTCATGCCAAATTCCACAAACATTAATTTCTATGAAATAGCACTGATTTTATACATGTTGGTATTTGAGAGTAGAATTACTTATTTATATTTCTGATGCATATAGATATGTGCAGTCCTGGGGGTGTACATAACAAATTAGGGCCTACAAGAATTTAAAAGCCGTAATTATGTACAGCCAATTTTTTTTACAATTTTAGCAATTGTTTCTGTGAAAATTGATCAAAAACTATCTAAATATAAATAAGTGTATGCATAGGTTGGTTAACAAAGTTATGTTAAAAACTATAAAAAAGTTAGCTGTTAGAACAATTGGTAACATATGATTTTTGTACAATTGCTCAGATTTTTAGTGAAAATCTCCAATATAGCCAGTCCTTATTTGATAGAACAACAAAATGTTTGTTGTTTTGAATCATTGGAAACTTTCATTAATGATATTACATCTCTAACTTTGCACTTTTGATATTCGTTTTTTACATTAATTGTACTCAATTTATGTAAAGCTTCAAAAACTAAATAGTTTAATAACAAAATAAAATACCATGAACAAAAAAAGGGGGTTGGGACTTAATTTAATAATTGGTGAAATGTCCATGGTGTCTCTGCACCTACTATGCACAGGCCTATGCTGATACAATTAATGGGTGAAGGGCACTTTTTTTGTACACGGAATGAAAACTACTGGTCATATATTATAAAGCCTGTCGCCTGACTAATATAATTTGTGCTTGTATCCATATAAATTTCTATTATCTCCAATGTTGGTAATATATTACTAGGGCTGGGACTTTAATGCCCCCCAAAAAAACTAATAAATGATTTCATGCGCCATAACATTTTTTTTAAATAGTAATTTTGATATAAATTGTAGTATACATTTGGTATAGATAATAATATACATTTTAAAGGATTGAAAAAAGTTTTTCAGATAGAACTGATCATTTTGGACTTAGCTATAATGTAAAAAAAACAATTATTTTCATTAATTATTATTATTTTTTTATAGGTTTAGATCATATATTTATTTCCTTTTTACTATATACAAAGGTAGTTGTAGTTCGTTAAATATTTAAAAAAAAATTACCTAAAAGCATGTTAAGCTTTTAAAATATAATTTCAAATTCAGATTTTGGAATATAAAACTTCAAAAATGTCTAAAATGCAAAAAAAGCATAAAATAAAAACTTTTTATTATGGGTTATAAATACATGAGATGTGAACCTGTTAAAGACGAGCATCAAGTTGCTAGATTTAGAAAAGTGCATCAAAATCCAAGTCTTACTTGTTACTAATAAATAATAAATAATGTAAATGTACTGTGTACAGTTTTAAAGTAAACACCTATACCAGGGGTCAGAAATTAGTTTTAAAGAATTTGGACTTAATGAAAAAAAAATGTTTGAGATTCAGTAAACTTATTTTTTTTTGTGTGTAACCAGTCATTTTAGGTCTACATAGAGATTATTGATTATGAAAGAAAAATTAGCATCAAAGTAAAAAGTATATTTGGCGGTCCACTTATTTGCTCTCCTAATTTACCCACTTCGTTGCCATCTAATGCCAGGCCCTAACCTTTATAAATAAAATATTTATTGTATAAAATTTATTTTTTTTAGATTTGGTAATATGGGCCTCTCCTCACAACAAGTTTTGTCATTTATACCTGCTGACTCTTGGACTCCAGTGAGTGATTTTTATACAATTTATTTTAATATGCAATGAGTGTCAATGTCATAATTCTACATTTAAAAAAATATATATAATGTGATAATTTTCAACCTACATTTTTTTACACATTTAAAAATAGCTCTCTAAAAATGTAACAATTTAAATATGAAAATTATTATATTTGTATCCAAGAATGTTAAAATATAAAATTCAATCATAGTCACAACTAGGAGGACTAAGCCCCTTAACTTTTATTTTAGCCCCCCGCCACTATAATTCCTGTATTTCCACCAATGGTGGCTACGTTTATAAATTTTAATTAATAAAATGGTTCTATTTTTTTTAACTGGTAAAATTTTTTTTTGTTATTGTCAAACTATATAATATTATCATAATATGTGATGACCCTGTGTATGATGTATCATGTTGTGTAGTATTTACTACATACTTACATAGAAGTTGTCAATAAAGTAAACAAAAGTAGTCTTCGCCCAGGAGAATACTGACGATTTTATTTTTTTATTATTTATGTATAAATAGTGATAACAACTAACGAGTAACGATTACTGGATAAGTTTGTATGCTGGTTAACATTGTTGTTATTATTATTATTATTATAAATTAGTCAAATTTGTTTTTTTATGTTTTTAGGATTTATTAAATATAAAATAAATGAAACTGAATTAAAATCAAAAGTGTGAGTTGGATAATTAATTATTAGAAAAGATGAACAATTACCATTTAAAGCGCTAAAGAGTATTGTTCAAAAATTTGTTTTTCAAAATTTATATAAAATCTAGTGATAGAACATTTTCATGTTTATAAATGATCTGAATATTATTTTTTATTTAGTATAAATCCCTGTATAAATATTAATAGTAATAATATTGCTAGCCTAAAGGTTAAAATGTATAATACTGAATGACATTTGTGATTTTGTTTGGTTACTAACTTTAGCTCATGTAAATTGTATTATATTGTATATTAGAACTTTTAACATTATTTTAATTTCTTTAAGGTTTTTGTAATGCCCGGTTATAAATCAAATAATGGAATTTATATAATATCTACAAATGAAAAATATCTCCAACGTTGTAATGACATATACAAAATGGCATTTCATAGTTATACATTTGAAAAAGTCAATACATATCAATTGTTTGGATTAGTAGCAGTAGAAATTGAAGGATTATGGTTAGTATTAATAAACAAACATTATGCTTCTAACATGACTTGTATTTTAAGCAACTTAATATTTTAATTTTTTGAAACTTCAAATAAATATATATTACAATAAAACCAAATGTCTATTACATTGTATTTTGTGTAACAGTTATGAAGATTCAAATCTTAAGTATTCGTGGTAAAAATATGAGAAATAGCTGTTATGGAGTATAAACATACTTATGTTATACTCTATTTAGGTTAAGATTGATCAGCTTTTGCACACATAGACTGAGCTGCCACCTACTGCCTGACTCCTGCTATGAGTTCTGTGGTTGACAGTGTCAGGTCATCAGTGTTACCTACACACTCATATTAGCGCCCATTTTTTGGAGGAAGATGACATGATCAGACTATTTTTGGTCGGCCCAGCTGTTCAATCTTAACCTGAATAGAGGTATTAAACACATATTAATTATTAATAGATATGAAACTAAATAGTTCATTAAAATATAAATTTTTTAACTGAACACTGTCCAGTGAGATAACATGCTGCGGACTATAAGAAATGATTCAATTATTTTATAATATTTTTTTGTTATATTTATGATATGTATAGAACAAAAAAAAATTAGTAATTTATACAATTTGTATTTATACTATTTCTTATACATAAATTACAATTTTTTTTATTTTTAATAGATAAAAGATAGATTACAAGTACTTACTTAATTATTAAATTTGAGTAAGGTAACTTGTAAAGTTCAATTAGAAGAATTAATATCTAAGTTTGCAAATCATAATTCATAAAATTTATAACTAAATTATTTGTTTTGATTTTTTTTTTTAGGTTCAGAGGCAGAATGTTAAGTTATAATGAATTTCTGGTTAAAAATACAGTTGTTGAGTTAATTGATTCGGGAACTATTGTTGAGAAACAATTATGTGATTTATATCAACTACCAAATAGTTATAAATATGATCCTTTAGTAAGTGACATTTTTATAACACAAAATACTAGTAAAATAAGATTTCAAGAATTATTTAAATTTTAAAACATTTTCATCATTTGGAAAAATGGCAAGATAGTAATTTTGTCCCGTCTGATTTTAAAGCAGCCAATGGGCTAGAGCCTGGTTGTTTCCGTATAACTGTTATTATATTTTATCAACCCAAAACAGGTCTATTTTCATAATATTTTGTGTACTAAATAATTTTTGTATAATATAGTTGGAATATATTTATATTTAGATACATGTAGGGACGTTCATAAAGTAGTGTGGGTGTGTGCGTTTTATGAAGGAAAAGGAATATAGTATTGTTGTATGTATTATATTTATTTCTAAAATCTAAGACTGATACAAATTTTAAGAACAACAATCGGCAATCTTATTTATCATTGATTTCAGACTTCAGATATAATTGAGACAGTTGTGTACATTGTACTATTCTTTATTGTATTGGATTTGTTTACCTCAGTCTCGGACATTTTGGTGTGGCCATTTCGGCGTAGGACTGTTTTGCAACTTATCATTTACTTATATTTCAAAGAAGAATTAATTTTGTATAAACAACAGCATATTATAATTGTATAATTGTATAGTTAGCTAATTCTACTTAAAATGAAGTACAAATTTAATTAATTACATATAAAAATATGTATAATATATATATATCGTCCATCGATACAGCGTATAGGTTAACTATATTATATCTATACTTATATCTATATTAACTTAATAGCTAATGTCCTAGACCAGCATTTCCCAACTTGTATCGCTCGCGGCACACTAATCCCAACCCAAATTTAGCCAAAGCACACTTGTCACTGACTTATAAATGTATACATATTTTTTTGTAGTAGGCTTTCATCATATTAATTATCAATACCAAAGTAGTTGTATATCAGTATATTACTAACAAATAATTTTAAATGGTGTGTTTATTTAGGATAATAAAATATTATTACAATAACCTAGACCTTAATATAGATTATGTTCTGCTATAGTCTAATCCCAATTCAATTTTTAATTTTTTATAAGTTAATATACAGTTAATTCGGCATACACGCATGTAACTGCATTCAGTGAAGTAAAAACTGATAAATGATATTGTAAGTGCAACATAATATTAATGTTAACATTATATTATCTAATAGCAATTAAATTCAATTTATGAAAAAATCTAAAGTGACTACGCCGAGATGTACGGATCCGAGTTTACCTAGTACCTATATTAGAATCAGTTTTTGTTTACAAAAGTATTTTGTTATGTCGCTGTGAATAAGTAGCTTAGTTTAATAAACAGTAAATAAGAATAATTATATTAGTTATACTTTTTGCATTAATTTAAATAAAATATCAAGAAATTACATCAACATTACAGCAAAAGTAATTTTGTAAGTTGTAATTTGTGTTATGGTACTACACTACTACCCATCAGTCTCATCATTGCATTAAATATACATATTTGAACATATTATCAATGTATGTTTTCATTGTAATATTTTTAACAAAATAACATAACAATAATATTATTTATTTATTTACAGTGCCTCGCAATTAAACCTCTTTATGAAATTCCTTCCCTTACAGTAGTTACACAATTTTATGTTCAACCTTTATTATTACAGAGTGTAAGTTCAGTATTAAAATTAATGATAGTAAAACTAATTTTTTGTATTATATTTTTTAATTAATTGAATATCTTATTTAATTTAGGAACTTCATAAAGGTTATGTTGTAGTAAATATCAAACCAATAGAAATGATTAATGAGATGTATTTAGAGAAAACTTATGAAGAAATTAATACTAAATGTTCTCAACCTTTAATCATTACTACAAAGGGTGAATGGTAATTCATAACATTAGAGTATTCTTGTATATTACTAAATATATTAATTATAATAATAATAATAATAATTTAATTTTTTTCAATTTTGTTTATAGTACAGTTAAAGAGTCAATATGTAATGTGCAAGAATTAAACAAGTCAATATGTAATGTGCAAGAATTAAACAAGTCAAATAACCATTTGACTTGCATAAAAGAACTTAAAGAACCAGGTAAAATAATTATTGCATTTAAGAAAAATTAAGAAAAAAATCTTAACAAAATGATTTTAAATTATGTTTTTTATTAGTAGAAGTTATTATTATATTTAAACTTAAATTATTTTTATGGATATGTCAATCTATTATATACAAAAATACATTACATTACATATTATTTATTATACATAAATTCTGTAATATTATACTGTTATCTATTTTAGGCATTACTGAATATAAATATGTTGAATTTTCAAATGACCTGAAAGAGGTAATAATTTTTATAGTTATTTTTAAGTTCATGTATATATTATGTATTTTAAAACTCATATTATTAACTTTTTTCAATTATGAAAATAATATGTAATTTTTAATTTAGGTATTAATCAAAGAAAAAAATTATTTTTTGAAAACTTTGTTAAATAATGGAAGTATAATATATGATTTGAATAATATATTTCTAGTACCTAATAACTATAATCCCAAATTGTTGTCGTTGGTAAGTAGTATGTCATATAATAAATAATATTATCATGGTTACTAGAGCAAGGACTTTCATGCACTAAAAAATCATCAAATATGCATTTAAAAATATGCACTTATGCATCAAAAATTAAAAATTTGCGGTTAAATATGCCCTTTAAAAAATTAATTTTATTATTATACACTATAAGTTTTAACTACATTTATTTTATTAAATTGATTTGAAATTTCTTTTAAATGTTGGATCCCATTCTTCTTAATTATTATCCATTGAAAATACAGATTTACCAAACTCGATTACAAAGACGATAAGCTTTTGTCGATTTTTCTTTTGACATATTAATAGTGACAAAAATTAAACTCATGAAACTTACACACACGCAGCAAATCTACTAGAACTAATCTAATCTACCTACTGACTATAGATACTTGATACTATTGTTTTTATCCCACGTACCTACTACCTATTATTCGTTAAATAAAAATACAAATTTAGATATAATTAATACTGACCATTTATTTCAAGATAAAATTGATCTCTATCGTCTTTTTAAGTTTATAACAAATTGTTGACCTTGATTTGTGGAAAATATTCACCAAAGTGCTCGATTTTTGATAAACCATCAAAATATGCACTAAAAGCTTAAAATATGCTCTTACAATCAAAAATATGCCCCTTAAACCAAAAAATGTCCAAATATTCAAAAGTATGCATTAAAAACTTTTAGATTTTGGTCACAAACGTTGTGAAACGTATTGTATACTTCTTCTGCATAAGTTTAATTAAACCAGAAAAACCATGTAAATGCATGAAAGTCCTTGCTCTAATGCTTACTAATCATTTTTGGTGTCAACAATTGCATATTATAAATGATTCTTACTTTCTTCATAGACAATATATAGATAATAGTATTAAAAAATCTGTATTTTATTAATTGTCATATTAAAAAAAATATAAAATAAAAACATTACTAATTAAAAGTAAATAAAATTGTTATCTTAAAAACCATGATAATGATTTATTTATCTATTTCGTCTAAATTAGAATAGCTGCTTATAAAATTCTTAATTATTGAATTTTAAAATCCAATAGAAAATTAACGACCAAAATAATCAACTAGTTCTTGTCGACAATGTCATCGAATACAACCAAAATAAAGATGATAAAAATAAAACTTCTAATGGTGAAGCTTCAATAATTAAAGAATCAAATTTTTCTGGTGAGAATACTAGTCGAAAGCTCTGTATTTATATTAAATTTATTAATTATTATTATTGTTATTTTTTATGTTCCTACTTATATAGATTTAAGAACTTCCTCTACATCAAACATGTCTACACATAATATATTTAAAAATGGATCATCAGTTGAATTTTGCTATGGTTCTAATATTGATTTTGTGTACATTAGAAGTTATGACCAAAAAAAAATATATTCTAAAGAAATGAAACAGTTTTACGCATATTATAAAAAAAGTAAGACTAAAACATTTTTTGATTATTTAGTTAAAATATTAAATTAAAGAATAATGAAGCTTTGAAGTGTAGTGAACTCATCAGTGTGATTTTCATATAATATGTGACATCCCTGGCATTTTAGGTATGAACTATCAGGAAAAAATACAACTAATATAAGTAAAAATAATTAAAATGCTTATGATATTAAACATCAATACATAATCAATAATTTTTTTTGCATATGAAATATGCAATCTATACAATTCATCACAATAATGTGTGTGAGGTAGGGAATAAAAACATTAATGGAGTTATGGGATTAAGGAGTCAACTATGAGTAACACTTAGCTTGGGGTTTGCATTAGAGGATTATGTTAGTACATAACATCAATATTAAATATAATATAATAATGGTTAGATAGTTTATGTAGTATCTTGGTAATAGTTATAGACAGTGATCGAAGTGGCTCAAATTAAGTAGAGGGATGCCTTTCATAATTTATATAGTTATCGTTAGGGCTCGGATTTATATGTAAATACATATTTTTACTGTGACTTGATAAATTAATTTAGGTAAGTGATAAATTCGTTTCAAGGGATTTCCAATAAAATGAACTATATTTTATTTTACATATTTTTACATATTTTGCCATAAGTACATGTTTTTACATATTTCTCAATAATTCCATTTTTCCTACATATTTCGATAATTTGTTCATTTACGATTTATTATTTATTAATACAGACTTGCCCATGTTTAAAAAAGTACAAAATAATACTGTAGAACTTTCTCCTTCAGACATAGTCAACATGCAATATTGTCCTATAACATCAGTCGAAGTTGAGAGATCTTTCAGTCGATATAGATCAATTTTACGACATAATCGGCGATTTTTCGAATTCGAAAATTTAAAAATGCATGTCATTATTAATTGTAACCATAATAATTAGATAGTTAGATAAATATTTTTTTTTATTACATTTCATTTTAATTAATAATAATATTTTTTTTTTTTGATAATACATATTATAAATTTTTAGCACATATTTATGTACATAATTTTGTTTTTTGATAATACATATTATACATTTTTTAGCACATATTTATGTACATATTTTTGTTGCATAAATACATACTTTGGTTAAATAAATACATATAAATCCGAGCCCTAGTTATCGTATATCGTTTAAACAGTCGTACAAAATAAGTGGAGGGATGAAAAATATGAATTACAAAAAGTGGAGGGATCTCATCAGACTGTAAGCCCACATTGACTGGTGGTAGGTAAATAAATATGAGTGTAAAAATAAATATATTTTTTTTTAAATTATAAATAAGGTTTGTAATTTAATACTCTAAAAACCTCAATAATTCCCTAGTAAAATATTAATTATGCACTAAAAAAATTTTCCAAAAAAAAATAAAAAATAGGATTTTGCATATTAATTATGTTATTTATATTATTAAACTTAATCTTAAGCTATGGTTTCCAAGGCGTAGCTACTCACGACAGCTGGCCTCAACAATTGTTCTACTATGAAGCAGCATTATAATTGCTTCGGCCTGATGACTACTGATTTACAAGCAGTATATGGCGCAGCGGTTCACAGCGTTTGGCCGTCTCGACTTGCCTCTTCTTGGAAATCATACCTTAAATGGTAGCTTACTTCTTTTTCCAACCTGGTATATTTTTGCGGAACTTCTAAACAAGTGTTACATATGTTGTTCAATGTATAGCACAAAACACGATTGTAACTCAATGAATTGTTAAATTTTTGTAATTATCTGCGTCATTTTATAAGTTATTTATTGCTTGACAACAAAAAGGTTCAAATTTAACTGTGGAATTCTTTGAAATTAATCGTCCACTGCACCTGTTGTCTTCATCATTAATATCATGTTCATAGTTCAAAGAGAGTATACGCCTTTAAAATTAAAAAAAAGGTATACAAATGTAAAAATAATTAATGAAGGCAAAATAAAAATTGTGTTTTTTGATTCATTTGTACATAAAATTAATTTTGTACTTGAAAACCGTTGTTTTTCAATCTTAAGTTTCTAGAAAAAAAAATGTAATTTGCATTAAAATTCTAAGTTATGAAATATGTACAATTTACTAAATAAGTATTAACAAGTTATTTCATTATTAATTTTTACATTTGCTTGTATTACAGAAGAAAATATAAAAGTCAAAACAAATGTAGCTATTGGTGATATGGTTGCAGCTACTTTATTACATTATAATGAAATACACAGAGCTATAATATTGCATAAAAGTTCAAATCATTCTTTTGAAAATTATTTTTGTTATTTTATTGATATCGGCTGTAAAGAATATGTTAACCCAAATCATATTTTTTATTTACTAGAAGAAGCTAAAAATGTAAGTTCTATTATTATTTTTGATGAAATATGACTTAACATACCAAAAAATGTACTTACTAGTTATACAAATGAATACAAAATTAAATGTAATACCTTGTTGTGTGTGTAAAATATTTTTTTAGGTTCCTTATTTAGCTCATAAAGTGGAGTTAAAAAATATTCCATTGCATAATACTATGCAATTAAAGTATTTAAAGAACTATTACGATCAATTGTATTTACAACCATTATTAATAGTTAGTAAATATTAAATACTTATTTTTTAATATATAATGCAGTCAAAACAGGTTAACTCAAAGTTGAAAGAACCAGTAAAGGAATTTGAATTATCCAAGATAGAGACTGAGTCATCTACTCAATATCTGAGTTAAACATAAGTACGCTGTTATTTACAATAACAAATACTTATCCTTACCACTGATTCAAGAAACACCGACGTGACCTCAGATATAAAATCTGACAAGTGTAAACAGCACCTTAGACTGTTAAAATAAAAAATTCCAGGGAGAAACCTGAGAAAAATTTGAGGTTTTTCAATTTCAAGTTAACCTAGTTTTGACTAACCATACAATTATTATACTTTTTTTAAAATTATAATTTATAATATGTATTTAGGAATATGATGAAAGTGATTCCATTGGAACAAACAAAGCTATATTAAAAAGAAAATCAAACAATATGGATATTTATTTAGATATAAAAGAATTTTTACAAAAAAAAATATCAAGTTTTTGTGTTTCAAATAATAAAGGTATAAACTTGATGATAATTACTATTGGTTTTTGATATTTTTAACATAAACTTTTTTATGCATTTTTTCAGGAATTAAATTGATAGAGTATTGGAAGTTTAATGATTTGCTTAAAAATGGAACAATAGTATTAATTACTCACTTTTGTTCTATAAATCAAATTTATGTCCGTATTAACACATCTGAATTAACAGAATATTATAATAATTTAATCACAGAAGTTAATCAGTTTTATGTCAATTTGAAAAGTGAATATAAAAAAAAATATATTATACATGAAATTACAGGCCTTTGCATTTTTTAAGTGCCTCATGATACATATTCATACATTTTGTCATATCAGGAAAAATTAGAAAATATACATTCATTTATAACAAGAAAATTGTGTTTAAATTAGGTATGGATAGGTCTTTGAAAATACCTCAGTGGAGATTAGGGTTTCCTTAAGGTTTTTCAAGTGAGCTCCCTTCAAAAAAACAAATGAAAAAATAATTATTTTAATATATAATTCCTGTCCAAAATGCCCATAAATAACTAATAACTCATTTTCTTCCATGAACTACAATCATCATTTTTATTACTAAAAAAAGAAGTATAGATAAGTCTGAGATCTCACTTCTGCTCTGCATATAGTAGGTTAGACTTCAATGATACATATGAGTGACATCACATTTTTATCCGGATTTAAGAAAGAGTTAGAACTGTGCTTGTTTACATACAATATATAATATATTTATTGTAATAAGAAAAAAAAATTTTAATGTGTCTTATTTCCATTTTAAAAGTAAAAAAAACTTCTGAATTATTGTTATTATATTAAAAAAATTTTATTCCAAAAAAAGTTTTTAAAAAAACATTGAAACTTTATTAACAATCACTAAATATTTAACTAAAATAAATAGTCAGGTATGGTCCCATAACATGATTTTTTGATCCATTGAATTTTATTAAACTTTTAAATGATTACTTTTTTCATGCAACCTGGCATAGGAATTTAAGACAGATATTTTAATTGTGAGTTTATAGAACTAATCTATTGTTTTTAACATTTTGGGTTTAATTTATTTTAATAGATTAATATATAACTAATAGGGCTCTAAATTATTTGTATGTTTGATTATTAAAGTAGGTAATACTACACTTAAACATTTGGAATAAATTATTTAAATGACTAACATAAGAATGTGATGTAAAGTAATTGTTTTATTGTTCTAATATATTAAGGTGCGTGTCATAGAATACAGATTCCAAAAATTGGTGAAAAAGTTGCTGTAAAGAGTCAATCCAAGAAAAATTTTGCACGTGCAACTATTTTAAAAAAAGTTAATGACACAACTTATTCAGTACACTATGTTGATTATGGTGATAAAGAGAATGTGAAAGCAATCAACATTTTTCAGTTACCATATAGATTTGTGCATGTTTGTTTATATACTTTATAGTTTTCTATGTGGTAAATTATGTAGACTTATCAAATTTTTCATTTTTTAGTTGCCAAAGTCAGTGATTAAAATTGGTTTAAATATTACAATGCCAATGAATACAACTAAACATCTTCCTAAATACTTCAATCAATTAATTCAATTATCAGTTCCATTAATTGTGGTAAGTTACTTTTAATTGATTATTTTTGATAGTTTGTTTCATAATACCAAAATTATATGATTTATTTCAAACCTCAGTGGTATAAGTTAGTTAATTATTTAAAACCAAAAGTTGGCTATGTTGTGATTGATTATTGACTATACTTTTTATCACAAAACTAAGGATCAGCCCTGTTTATGAATTTTACCATTGTTTTGCTGAACCAACTCTATCTTCAACAGTCAATAGTTATCTCTTAAAATTGACTTTTTCAAACTATAGTTTTGATAATTTAATGAAAACATATAATAAATATATTGATTAATGACACAAAATATAATATGTTCCATCCATATTCCACATAAGATAATTGTTTTAAAATCAATACATTGATTAATTCTAGAGCTTCTTCAAAGGGGAGGTGAGTGAATGGGGCAGCTGCCTCCCCCATTCATTATACTTTTTTTTAAATGTCTTAAGTTTTGTATAGTTAATTTGTCTATAGCTGAACTGTTTCTGATTACATTAATATTAATACAATTGTATATGAATGATTGATGCATAAAATTGCAAATTACTTATAATGAGTTAAAAGTTACATTTTTATATGAGTATTTTTTACTGCCTATTAGATTAAAATAGTAATAAATGTTTTTAATACTAGGAGTTTGATGAAGAAGATCCATTAGGGTTTCAAAAGATTGTTTTAAGAAAGAAGCTTGATGGCGTTAATATTTGTGAAGATATTTGTAATCTACCTGGCCTATTATATTAAAGAGCTACCCACAGCAAACTTATGTTAGAACTTTCTTTGAGATTTAAATATTATTATAAATTAAAAAATAGTTTTTAGTAATTGTTCTTTTAAAATATATGACTACTTCAATTTTATATTTTCTTAAATTTAAATAATACAGCATTAAATATTCTAATACTTATATTAAAATATATAATATGTTATATCAGACAGTTAATTGTGCAAATAATGTGTATTTAATTATCTCTCTATTGTATGAAAAGTATAGTGATTTGTATTTTAGTGAATATAGTAATTATTATACCAATTAAAATTAAAATACAGTTTAAAAAATGTAATTATTAAAAAATATACAAAAGACAGTTGAGTTAAACAGATGGTCTGCCTCAACCAAAGTGACTGGCAATCCCGGAGGTAGGTAGGTGGCTCGAGAAGACCTTGCCGAGCGTACCTCTGACATACCACATGCCCCCAGACATTGGCAAGTCACGGCTGCTTCCAGCACTGCCCGCACCAGATGGGCAGGGCCGCTAGCTAGCGCTGCTACCAATGCTACAGAGAGTCAGACACTATCAATCAGGCACGTTTACAGTGGAGTTTCAGCCCCTCCCCCCACGATGTTAATGTAACGTTACACCAGCACCCCACTTACCTACTTCGTATTGCACTTAATTCAAACTTATACCTAACATATGAACCCTCAAACACAAGCTAATGCTAAAAAGATAATTATTTAAAGGGGAGTTGCAAATATGTTATTACTATTAATATTTATTATATAATATATTTTATTATATATTAACATTGTACCTACAATTTGTAACATTAGTTTTGCTAAATAATTTTTATATTATTTTTATTATGCATAATAATTATGGTATTATTGGTGTATTGTTTTGTTGAGTCTTGGGTGTTTATAGCAATATTATTTTGTTGATTGCCACAAAGAAGAACGTAATATGAAAAAATAATTATCGGGGAACCTAGGTCCCATTTCTAAGATTTATAAAATACTAGCTGACCGCTGACCCGGCAATGCTTCGCTATTGCAAGATTTCTCAGATATTAAATTGCTATTTATTTTCTGGATGTTAAATAATTATTTTTATTTTAGACCACTTTTAGTCATGTCTTCGTGGTAATGTAGCCATATAAATTTAGCGTCGCCACCGCGGATTCTTCATAATGCTTTAAAAAAAATTATTTTGTATGTAGTGGTAAATGTATATGTATATTGTATGTAAATTGTATAGTTACATTTTGTAGGTATGACTATGGATGGAACAAAAGATATGAATTATGTCAGTATTTTGATAATTCAAAGATTTAAAAAATTTCTTTGTAATCAACTTTTTCTGGATCGGGGGCAATAATATACAAATTAAATTTGGATGTCACACGTGACAGGGTGACGTATAGTTGACCGTGAGAAAAACATTGAATGCTTAGATCAATTCCAGCAACGTTAAGTGTTTGTCCCTGTACTTTATTTACAGTTATTGCAAATGATAGTTTAACGGGAAATTGAATACGTTTAAATCTGAGGGTATAATTGGTATTCTTGGTATTAAAACAGTTTTTCCATTATCACAGCCTGTGAATATTATGCACTCGAGTAATAAACTTCTCAATTTTTTGATTTGTAGTCTTGAAGAAGAAAGAAAAGGCTTTACTTTACTTTACCTTCTTTACTCCAGAAGGCGTTAAAGAATTAAGAAATTCAGTTGGGAAATGGACTGTATCCTCTTTTTCTAAAACTGCATCAACTGAATAGTACATTTGTGATTGAGCGTCAAACCTAGATAGAATCAAATCATTTAATTTGTCAACTTGCTCATTTGTTGGTGACAAAATAGCCCTTTCTTGAAACCATTTCAATGATTTAGAAGATATATTTTGAATGTTCGGGTACACGTTTTGAATCAATTTTGTTACAGTGGGTACTGAATTACAGAAACTTTTGATATTTATTTTATCATTCGTTGCTTGAAATTCGCCTTTTTAGAAAACTATTACAAAGTCCATACAACGAAAATAATATCAGCGTACGGCGATGTTAAAATAAATACGGAAATCTACACCTGGACACCTGGTTGTCGAGTTTGATTGTTATTTATTTTCAGCCAGTGACTATTTCTTAGTAAAAAAGGTATAGGTATACAATTTCCACATTTATTTTAATTAATAATAACTAATTATTTATTAACTTTATCGGACTAAATTGTTGCCTTAAACCTCCTCTGTGATGTCCTTTTTAATTTAAAAAAATTGCACGACGATTGAATAAGTAGTTTCAGAGTTTATCCCGAACAAAAAAAAGCGAATTCATTTTATATAGTACCTAGTATAGTCAGTATAGATATAGATATAGATATAGATGATACTTAAATATGCAGAATAATATTAATATCACACTAAATTATTGACTTTTTCTACGTTCTGCCTTCAGATAATAGATAATCGATAGGTTCTAAATAGCAGGAGAATATATTCAAAAAAACGTGTGCACATACACCAAAAAAAAAAAATATAAAATAAATATATTCATACCATTCGGCCCTAAATCTAAAATACTTTACCTACAAGTATAAAACTAGTACAAATACAAATCGAAATACCGATTCTTGTTAAAATATAGTATAGGTACGCGTATTAGTGTGTTTCTATCCACAACAACTACGTATACGTATTTGGAAAAATAAGCGCGCCCAAAATCTGTACGCCAGCCGTTATTAACGACTACGGTGTTACTCGACGTCGAACTCGTAGACTGTTTAAGACGAGCTTGTTATTTTAATTCACTTGAAAATTTTGTCTCCGACCACTCATCGCAATACTAGTTCGCTGCCAAAAATACCGATTAAACATGAACAGAAATATTGAATCGATCATTCGTGAAATCTACGACAAAATAATGAGCATATATGCTATAACAATGGAGGATGGAAGTGAAGTCACACTGGAAACCGGGGATAACATCAACCTCGAAAACGGAAATGTATTGAGAACCATCATAGTCGAACAAGAACCATAACCAGATACAATAAACCAGCTAGGAGAAAACCCTACCATTCAAGCAGAAGATACCATATTATGCGATTCAATCGACGTAGTAGAAGTAGAAGATACAACCTCTACTTCATGCAGCCCGAAGTGGAATCATTAGATGAGGTATTGAGGTCGTGTTATCCCTTCTAGTCAAGTTCTAGACGATATTATCGATGTGTGCAACGATGTGGATTTGGAATTGGCCTGTGGAGACGAAATGTTGCATCTCCCCGAAGCGCCCGGATCGTCCGGGCAAGATGCAATATTAGATGTCGGACCGAAGGAGTAGGCAGATGAACCAGTAGCTGATTTAATAGTGTTAGACGAAGACATTCCGGCCGAGGTCGAAGTTAAAGTGGTGGAGTCGTGTGAACCGGAGCATCTGTTATCAAAGATAGAAACCTCAAAGCGGGCAATCACGGAGGATCGTATACACCACCTGGAGGGGCGTGAGATGGGTGACCCTCCGAGGGGAGTAACCCGGAGTTCACCGCTCGCTCCTCCTCGGCTGAGGAGCACCAGGTAAGACGGCGGCACACGTAGGGGGTTGACACGGGAAAGAGCATACGGTATAGGCGGTATGTCACCCGAATACACCCGATATTTTTTTTTTTGTAGTTTAGGTTAACTATTACCTGCCGACTTTAGGCATTTGGCATTTTTTGTACGGTAATAGATAACAATTTTTTTTGTTTTTTTTAAAATAAATTTGAAAAGGCCACTTTTTTTGTTCAAAAAGACGTTATGTGAATAATGTCTATTATGCTAAATTATAATAAAAATATATTTTTTCAAAATTTACACTTTGTGTCATAACATTATCAACACTCACGTTGTATATTTTCGCAAAGGTGAGCAAGTTAATGTTAAAAATAAAACTTTAGCAAGTTAAGTTAATTCAATAAAATTGCCTTCAGTTAAGTTAAAAGTTACCCCCAAAAAAAATTAACTAGTTAAGTTAAAAGTTAAGATACAAAATAAAATTAACTTAACTCAGTTTAAAAAAGGTTAATTTTTTTTTCAAGTCACAATAGTCATAAATTCATAAGCCATACATTTCCCTAGTATTTTGATTTATATACAAACATTTACCAAGGCGCTTAACACTGTGCAAACAGAACTTAAAATTATTATTATAAATTATAATACATTGTTATCAGAAACGTATAGGTTACATTTATATTTTAAATTTTTAAGTGTTTTAACATCGAAAAGTTGTTGAAAAAAAGAATTAATACATGACCATTTTTCAATTTGAACATCATTATGGACTGACATAGTTAATAGTTGTCAGTTAACAGTTGATGAGTATAATTTTATATTTATTATTATAAAATATATTAATATATACAATTTTAATGTATTAACTACTGTCGATTGTCTATTAATAATATATTTTTATTATTTAAAAATATAAATAATACGTTGTATTTGATTTAAGATTGATTATTTAACTTCAGTTGAACACATTGCAGAACAGTAAATTTTACAAATGACTGACGACTGTCTAGCGACTGCTAAGTAGGTAGGTACCTCGTACCTACTGAGATGAGATTTGATTATTGAGACATTGAATAAGCCCTTGAATAAGCTATAGTGCTATACTGCTATTGCACTTGTGCACTACCTATAGGTATTCCCGATTCTGGTGTTAATGGTATTTATATTTCTTATATTATAACTGTTTATAAATATTTGATATTTACTGTTTAGTACCATAATAATAGTCTATTATAAAATCAATGAATAATGATATAGTACCTACGTCCTACCTTTCGATATTCTAATCTCATATTGTGTCATACTTGTATTTATAACGAATACGACAGTATAAATATAAATAGGTTAGATATCTCGATTCTCAGACGACTTTTTAGTTTTTGCTTTGTTCATTGGAATAATATTGTCATTTGTCGTACCACTTTACCAGTTGTATAATGTATATATTATTGACATCGCTATAAACACTATGATAGTATGATATTTATTTTTAAGCCTGTTTTTAGATCTATACTTGGAGAGACGAATTAAAAATCGGATTATTCAATACCGAGTAGATCATTATAAATAAAACTCGTGAAAATCGCCAGTCCAAACAATATTGTCAAT